CAAAGCCACCAAGTCCTGGCTGCTCCAGCAGGTCGGGGGGGCTTGTGAAACATCCAGCCCCATGGAAATTGAGAATGTTGCGGTTTTTTTTAAAGTGTTGTCTTTGTCTATTTATCCCCCTTCCCTTGTCTATTGTGAGCCGCCCGGAGTCCTTCGGGAGTGGGCGGCATACAAGACAAATAAACTAAACTAAACTAAACTAAACTACCCATGTAGGTATAAGGAACAAGGAACACAGAAACCGTAGCTTGCCTGAACCCACCACTCCTTTTGTGGATTTGGAATACTTTGTCCAGTGCCCACAATTGTTTCCCCCACCCCCTTTCCAAACTGTTCTGTCATAACCAGGATGCCTAATCATCAATCATACTTTTCCACCCTCTAAGGGTAAGGAAGGGGGGAGGGCACAAGGAGGGCAGTTTCCTGTGGCATTATTTTCAGCTAGTCTGCTGCTTGCTGCCATGGAAAAGTGGAGAGGGGTCAGTGGAAAATTTTTCATTGCAGCTTGGCAATTAGGGTCTGGGCTTTGCTTATCTCTCCAAGGTCATTTCTTCTAGTTTTGGTTTGCAGCAGTCCTCTGGTTGCTTTAGCTACAAGGGAGTTGGGCTTTATAGTTTGTTTCAATTTGCTGCTTTGCCCACTTTTGCCTCAGATCTTGCCTGAAACTTGTTGCATTTGGTTCACTCCTAGTAAAAGTACCTTTTTTCTGAATCTATGGAGCCAAGAGTTTTTTCTTATCTAGGAAATGGACAGAGGCAGCCCTGATAATTATTTTCACTCTACAGTCTCTTTGTTGCAAGATGGGAAATATATTATGGGATTAAAATTGTATTAGAGTATGGTGGCAAAAAATCAGGAGTCCAAAATCACCTTTTTCAACTAATAAATTTTATTTAAAAGCATAAGATTATTTCAAGTGGTCCAGTAAAAGTTATTATGATAAGCTGCCACCATTCAGGTTAAACTTTCTGGAAGATGGGAAGGCACATACACCATCTTTTTATCCAGTCCTTTCTTGTGTGAATCATAAGAGTTAGTTTATTTTCTTTTATTCTGCCCCCCCCTTACAATCCATACGCTTACATGGTTTAAACTTATTGCTTTATCATTTGCAAATCTGATTATCATACATATCATTTGCGATATTTTAGAGGAAGCAGTATAAAAATAAATACGTAATTTTAAGAGAAAATATTGGAATAATAGTACTATCACGAGACATGAGACATCCCCACCCTCACCAGAAGCAGCAGCATTGGCCCTGCAAAATATATTGAAGTTGGCATCCCATAAATAAAAAAAGGAAGGTTGATTTTTCTAAAACTGCATAGTCCTTCTTCTGCCTCAATAGATTGATCTATATTTCTACGTGTGCCTAGCACTTTCATTGTTCACTTTTCAGCCTTTTCTCTATTTACAGGTTCACTTTTTGCTAATAAAAGAATGTGCACCTCAGTGCCAAGAACTACTTGGCAGTAGTACTTGAAACTACAAGTACTTGAAACTACTTAAACTTCATTTCCACTTGTTTTTTTATGTTAATGAAACAAAAGTTAAAGAAGCACACTGGCAACATTCCATATTCCCCTGAATAAAGTACATGCTGTCATATGCTTAACATATACTTCTTGCAAATAATAATAGTAATAATAATAATAGCAGCAATTCTTGTTTTTGCCCAAAAGATCTGAATATCCTGGATACAGGTATCTGGTTATAGTCACTGTTCCCTCTAAGCTGCGCAGCTGTGCGGCCACGCACGTGTCAAGAAAATGCTGTGCAGCAGTTTCCAACTGCCGTGCAGTGTTTTTTAGCATGATAAATCCTCGGCTCTACCAGCCGCCTTCCTCCCCCAAAATGAAACTGCCCAGCTGGGGCAAGCAATGAAGCTGAAATGATGCCATGCAATTCAGGACCGAGAGGAATTGACAAGCCCGGCAGGTACTATTTGCGTATGAAAGGGCTGTATATTAAATGAGCCATTTAATATATTGAAAACCAACTTTATTTTCTGTTGGTTCATCCTCTCAAAGGTGATTGATCAGATTTCTTTAGCAAGTTCAAATTGGGGGAGCCTCCATGTAGATTGTTTTGGCAGCAGTAAAGAGTCTACTAGTTTTGGGGGGGATCAGCCATGGTCAGCTAGGTGTTACCATCCATAGCATTGATACAGCAAATGGTTCCAGTTCTTGGATCATCATATAAAAACAAATGGTTAAATATAATTTACAGCCAGCCAATATATAAATGTTGTAG